TGATGTTATTTTAAATGTAATTAGCTCACCCATTTGCATATTAGCCTTATTTATTGAAGATTGCTGGAGTAGATCTGTCAGCGGTGACATCGTGCTTGGCACATTACGGTTTGCTAACTGGCTCAGCCCTACCCCGGTCATGAAGATGGGTGATTGTTGAATGCTCAGCGGGCACAAAGGCCTCTCGTTAGCCTCCTAAATGTGTGAACTGGCACCGGGATCAATGGCAGCAGGCTTGTGAAAGGCTGCTTCATAATGAACCCTTGAGAGCTCGTCACTCACCCGATGCGAGGTAGAGAGAAGCCAAAAGATGGACGGTGAGCTCAGAACTTTAAAGCTTCTGTTTACAATTGGGAAAAGGTTGCTGGTCCTAGAATAGCATAAATGGGTCACCTCTATGGGAAAAGTCTAGCCACATAAACGTTAATGTACAGCCAGGTGATGGAGGGGAGGGGAGAGTGTGTGGGTCATAGATCGTTAAGTTAATTTAGAGAGGAAGGTAATCTAGTAGAGTATCTGTGGGTAGTAAGAGCGGGGTCAGGGGTGAACTAGAGTGCTGGTTAGTGCTGTTTTATTAGGTAAAATGATTGAAAAGAGAACCGTGGGGCTATTCTAGATTAGAACATCTTATTTTGTGAATGGCATCCTGCCCTTTGAACCAAACTAAAGGCTTTTGTTGCAGAACTGCTCATTTTGAGGTCTGTGGTGGTGAAACCTGTGCTATTTTTTTTTCACTTGTTTACCATTTCAATCCATTCTAATCCATACAATGAAAGCGAGTGGGGATGGATGCTTTTGAACTCCAAAATGTCAACAAAAGCATAACAGAAGTATTTTAAACACATTTTATGCTATAGTATACATCTTTAGAAGCCATATGAACTACTGTTCTGTTCAGAAGTTCTTTTTATAAAGGCATGATTTTTAGTAAGCGTTGTTTAGTATCTACCATTTTCCTTTAGCCAAAAGTATTTTTTTTTTTTAGATTTATATTACCTTTCAAAAGATTGGGGTTAGTAAGATTTTTCTTTAAGAAATGAATATTTTATTAAGCTTGGATGCATTAAATTGATCAAAAGCCATTTATAATGTTGTAATAAATGCTGTTCATTTGAACTTTTCTATTCATCAAAGATCCAATAAGACCAAAATATTAAGCAGCACAGCTGTTTTCAACATTGCAATTAATAAGAAATTTTCTTGAGCAGCAAATCAGCATATTAGAATGATTTCTGAAGGATCATGTGACACTGAACACTGGAGTAATTTCAGCTTTGTATCACAGGAATTAATTACATTTTAAAATATATTCAAATAGAAAAGCTTTATTTTAAATTGTAATACTATTTCACAGTGTTACTATTTTTTTTTACTGTATTTTAAGCATAAAAGACGTCTTTCAAAAAACATTAAAAAGTCTTTTGAAAATATTTATATATATTTTAATATACATACAGTATTGACATTTTAACCTGTAATGCCAATTGGAGTTAAAATTCACTTTAAGATTTAAAATCATGCTCTCTAACAATAGAATTTTAGAAATGGATTAATTTTTTTTTAAATCTGAATGTTTTAATGAAGTGCATGATTTTGTGTGAAGTGGCTCCGTGTGGCTGTCATTATCTGTTCTTTCATATCTAGCAGCCGTACATTGCAGTTTAGACGACTGAGCTGGCTAGCACTCATCCATTCTTTCTCTCTCCCTCTCTCTCTCTGAAACAGGTGCTGTGTTAATTGGTAAACAGTCATGGTTTACTGCTAGATAGGCTCACTTATGATTCATTTAGCTTCCTCTTGGTCATCAGACAGTCTGTTCAGGCCTCTTGTGTGAGTGTGCATGTGTTGTTATATGTGCTGAAGTGGTAGGAAGATGAGACCGCAGCAGATGGTCTGTAAACTGTGCTCAAGCCGGACTCCTGTCGAGTCTGCCCTTTGTTGCACGTATGCATTCCTATGTGAGCGGGTCGGTGCATATGCCATGATACTTTAGTCTTGGCTTAGGTTGCTGTTATCTTACCCTCCATTCATCTCCAGCCTCAGGCGGTGGGCTGCAGCTCAGCATTCCGGCTTTTGTCTCCTTCATTTCCATTTGTAAAACAGGTGTGGATGCCGAAACACTAGCGCAAGTTTCTGAAATGTAAATGAGATGGGTTGTGTTGATTTTTCAGATATTCTTGGAATGGTTTTATTTGTTGTTTTAGTTAAAGAAAATGTATCTTAATAGGTCATATAAACAACTGCATCATAACAAAGGCCATTATGTGTGGAATAATTGAAATCTACAGATGGTTTGAGACGGCAATACACCAATTTTGGTGCATGAAACCTTACAAAAAGTACAAAATATGAGCTGTATGAGCTTGCTTAAATGGATTTTGCTCCAATATTCCATTGCCATGTCTAATTCGCCTCAGTATGCAAACTTTCAATCTTAGAACATAATACAGGGCAGAGTTTGTAAATTTAACACCTTCTTTGGCTACCCAAATGAAGGCAAACAGTCGTTTTTCATAAATGAAACGAATGCAAATCTAACAAGCAAGTAAGCTGAAGCTCCAAGTCTCCAAATCTGACAAAAAAAGGTTGTGCTTGAAAGCTATTTCCGAATGATCAATTGCTCCGTTTCGAGGGGTGCCGTGGAGAAATAAATGGAATCACCGCTGCCGTTGTTGTTCCTTCAACGATTTCCATCTGCTTTGCTTCTCGACAGTCCATAAATACATTTTTAATGGTTGACAAACTGATCTCGTTGCAGATGAAAATCGATGATCAAGACAGCGAGAGTCCCCAGAGAACTACACAAATGAATACAATGAATAATTTAGTCTTTCACACTAATCATATCTCCATTAATTCTTAAAACTCTGCCTCAGTGTAGGCACTGGACATGTCGGACAGGCTTTTAAAGACTGGTAATCATCTCTCTCCTTATGGATGAGGGGCAAGATGTATCCGGTATTGATCTGCTTTTTTTCTGTGTATGTGTGTGTCATTTGCTTAAACCATTTGAATCAACACAACACCCACAAAAGAGGTTTTACAATCTGATGAGCGCTTAAGTTCCCTGAATGACATTTTATTCTCAAAACCTGTCGAAAAAAAACAAACATTAAATACCATTAAAGTAGGGGTGGGCGATATGACCAAAATCTTATATCACGATATGAGTAATTTTATATCACGATAACAATATATATCACAATATAGTTATTTTTTTTCTTTTAAAAAGGTTTTTATGATATTAAAGTCTTTGATACCATAGAATTTTCATAATCCTTGTCACCAATGTCAAGCCTAAAAAGAAAAAAAACAACAAAACCTCAAGCTCACTGAAGATAAATAAACAGTCAGTGATGAAATAAGTATAAGAAACTAATTGCAATATGACAAAAAACTACAATAAATAAGAAACGCTACATACATTGTGTAAATTAATTAGTCTTCATGTGTTAATTATATCTATCTATCTATAGATAGATAGATATATATAATTTGCATGTGTATTCTATATATATATATATATATAAATTATCATTATTATTATTTTTTAATTTCTTCTTATTAAAGTTACAGAAGTGATTTAGTCAAGAGCAGTGAGAGATTTTCTCTCTTTTGTTGTTTTATTAACATGACTGATAGACAGCAGGA